GCATAGTCAATGTGTAACTAAGTCCAGGGTTTACCCAGCCAATCCTGCTGCTGGTCATAATGTTTGTCCTTGTTGGCACTCTGGGCACTACCCCACCAATGTGGCTATGTCTGCATCCAATCCCTGGCCACCAGACAACTTCAAACCAACATCTTCATTTTGGACACTCCTGGGCGACCCGAGTAGAGTTCAGCCAGTACTGGGCAAGGACCTCTGCCTGGGACAATCACACTTGCTCCCCATAATAATATGCCGTCCTCTACTGTCATCTGGTCTCTCTGGCTCCAAAAAGGTTTCAGTTCTGGTTGTGTGGGCTCTCTTGGTTCCCCCATCACTACCAGCTGGTTCGGTTTTACCAGGACTGCATCTTTCTGTGTCCAAAGTCTGATATTGTCAGTTGTGACTGGAAGTGTTTTGAGAAAATTTAGAACCATTACGGACTGTCCCAGTGTTGGTACCACCGGTGGTGTATCTGCCAGTGGGAGGTGGTTCAATGCATCTGCATTTGTTACTTGGCCTCCCAGACAGTGCTCCAACTTGTAATTATACGCACTTAGTATCAGAGCCCACACTGATTTTGGCCTGAAGCTATGGGCAACGCTGCCTTGTCCTCTTTAAGCAGATCTAGCAGGGGTTTGTGGTTTGTTATTATTATAAATATACATCGATAAAGGCATTGGTGGAACTTGCTGATTCCAAATATGACCACCAAACGTTCCTTCTCTATCTGGGTGTATTTATGCTCTGCATTAGTCAAAGTCCTGGATGCATACACTATTGGGCGTTCCTCTCCATTGGGCCACCTATGAGCTAATACAGTTCTAATGGTGTATGAGGAGGCATTGCATGTCAATGCTAGATCTTGCTTGGGATCATAGTATGCCAACACCTTATAGGATGATAGCAGTTTCTTCACTTCCCTGAAAGATATGACTTGGCTGTGCCACCATTTCCAAGGCTGACCCCTTTTTAAAGTTGATTTGATTTATTATTGTCATGTGTAGCTAGGTACAGTGAAAAGTTTTGTTTTGCATGCGGTACAGGCAGATCATACCACACAACAATCACAGGGTGATTGAACAGAGCGAGGAATACAAAGTTACAGTTGCAAAGAATGTGCACAAAAAGCAAGATCAACATTAGATTTGAAATTTGAGAGGTCTATTCAGAAGTCTAATAACAGATGCAAAGATGCCAGGTTATGTATGAATTTTCCTTAAAAATTTACCAGCCCAAAGAAAGAGCTAAACTCTGGTACAGGTGTGAGAGCCAGGAACCTTTGATCAGCCTCACGTTATCTTTCAACAGGTGTAACCTGGTCTTGTTAATTCTGTAGACCAAATAGGTCACTTGGGGTGCCTGGAACACACATTTTTCCCTTCTCATGCATTTGCCCACCTGGGTGAAATGTCTAAGGACCACGTCCAAATTCTCAAAGTGCTCCTAATTGGTCTTCCCTGTCAAGTGGTGACCTGAGGTAGTAAAATGTTCTCCTTCATCCGCTGAAAAATTGCACAGGCTGACGATACCCCGAATGTATATTGATACAAACCCTTATGGATATTAATTGTAGTATACGTCTGAGAATCCTCATCTAAGCACAATTACAAGTAAGCATGGCTCATGTCCAGCTTTGTGAAAGAAAGCACCCCCTACCAGCTTTGTATATAAATCCTCTACGTGAGGCATTAAGCATTGACACAGCTGCGAGAAGCAGTTTATCCTTTGTTGAAAACCCCCACAAAGACGCACTGACCCACTGGCCTTCACAATCCGTGCAACTGGTGCTGCCCATTTTGCAAACTGTGTTGGTTTGATGGTTCCGTCGCTTTCCAGCCTCCTGATTTCTGCCTCTACTTTTGCCTGTAAGGCACTGGGTGGGCCTTGCAGAATCATGAAATTGTGTCCTGGTCCTTTGATAGTCCCTCGACCTTCCTGAAAATCTTCCAGGTATTTAATTAGGACTTCACTCAGGCAGCCATTGTCTAAGCGAAAAGTGTTGAGCTCATCAAGGTTACTCTTTCTCAATCAATTTCACCCCAACAGGCTTGGGCCCAATCCTTTTACTACAGTCATTGGTAACTGAACCAGCTGTTTCTCATGAAACCAGAACCGAAGTTGTACCCTTAACCTATAGAAGTTCCCCTGTATAGGTTCTCAGTCTCGCTGAGGTCTTGCGCAAACTTAAGGGTTGGAGTGTCAAGCTACAGATAGTTCCCGCAATCACTGATTGTAGCCAGGCCAGTGTCGACCTCCATTAGAATCATGTGACTATTTAATCAGCCGTTTATTGTGATTGGTTCTGATTTGGAAACACGATGGAGGTTGTTCTCAATGTGAAGGTGGGACTTTGCCTCCACAACAACTATGCGATGGTCACTCTTACCAATACTATCATGGACAGATACACCTGCAGCTGGCAGATTGGTAAAGATGAGGTCAAGTCTGTTTTTCCCTGTTAAAAAACTGAAAGAACTGCGGATGCTGTAAATCAGGAACAAAAACAGAAGTTACTGGAAAAGCTCAGCAGGTCTGGCAGCATCTGTGGAGGAGAAAACAGAGTTAACGTTTCATGCTCAATGACCCTTCCTCAGAACTGATGGTGGCTGGGAAAACATCAGTTTATATGCAGAAAATAGGGAGGTGGGGTAGGGAGTAAACGATAGGATAGAGCCCAAAGAGAGAGAAAGACAGTTGGACAGACAAAGGAGTTGCTAACGATCAGACTGGGAGGGTGAGTAGTTGTTAATGGGGACTGTTGGTGACTAACAACAGGGGATGTGTAATATCAGGCCATGTGGTAACAGGGCCTGGTGTGTGGGGTGGGGGGCTGGGACATGGGAGAGTTTAGGCCCTAAAATTATTGAACTCAATATTGAGTCCGGAGGGTTGTAGGGTCCCCAAGCGGAAAATGAGGTGTTGTTCCTCCAGCTTGTGTTGGGCTTCACTGGAACACTGCAGCAAACCAGAGACAGAGATGTTGGTCAGGGAACAGGGTGGTGCATTGAAGTGGCAGGCAACGGGTAGTTCAGGGTGTTTGTTGCAAGCAGAATGTAGACCACATGTTCCCCTCCCCTCCCTCGTCCACCTTCCGCAGGGACCGTTCCCTCTGGGACACCCTGGTCCACACTTCCTTCCCCCCAACACCTCCCCACAGCCCTACGGCACCTTCCCCTGTAACCGGCGAAGGTGCAACACCTGCCCATTTACCTCCTCCCTCCCCAGTATCCAAGGGCCCAAACATACCTTCCATGTGAAGCATTATTTTATTTTCAATTGCCCTGACAATAAAGCACAGCTTTCTATTTGCTTTCCTGATTGCTTGCTGTCCC